CTCTCAGTTGCCATCTCTCTGTATCTCTGTCTCTGTTTCTATTTCTGTCACTGTCTCTGTCTCTCTCTGCCTCTATCTCTCTGTCTCTGTCTATATCTAGCTGTCTCTCTGTCTCTGTCTCTCTGTATCTAGCTCTGTCTCTCTGTCTCTGCCTCTGTCGCTCTATAGCTCTCTCTCCATATCTGTATCTAGTTCCATCTTTCTGTTCTGTGTCTTTCTGTCTCTATCTCCCTGTATCTGTCTCTATCTAGCTGTCTCTTTGTCTCTGTCTCTCTGTATCTCTATCTCAGTCTCTCTCTGTCTCTGTATCACTATCTTTGTCTCTCTGTATTTGTCTATATCTAGCTGTATCTCTGTCTCTATCTCTGTCTCTCTTTCTTTATCTCTATCTCAGTCTCGGTCTCTGTCTCTGTATCTCAGTCTCTCTCTGTCTCTGTATCACTATCTCAGACTCTTTCTCTGTATCTCTATCACTGTCTCTGTCTCAGTCTCTGTATCTCCATCTTGGTCTGTCTCTGTCTCTGTATCTCTATCACTATCTCTCTCTCTGTCTCTGTGTCACTATCTCGGTCTCTGTCTCTTTATCTCAGTCTCTCTCTGTCTCTGTATCACTATCTCAGTCTTGGTCTCTGTACCTCTGTCTTGGTCTCTCTGTCTCTGCATCTCTATCTCTGTGTATTTCTATCTCTGTCTCTGTATCTCTGTCTCTGTCTCTTTGTATTTGTCTATATCTAGCTGTATCTCTGTCTCTATCTCTGTCTCTTTCTTTATCTCTATCACTATCTCAGTCTCTGTCTCTCTCTGTCTCTATATCTCTATCACTATCTCTCTCTCTGTCTCTCTTTCTGTATCTTTGTCTCTGTCTCTGTATCTCTATCACTATCTCTCTCTGTCTCTCTCTGTATCACTATCTCAGTCTCTGTCTCTGTATCTGTCTTAGTCTCTGTCTCTGTCTCTCTCTGTCCCTGTATCTCTCTCTGTCTCTGCTTCTCTTTCTATCTCTGTCTTTCTCTGTCTCTGAATCTCCATCTTGGTCTCTCTCTGTCTCTGTATCTCTATCACTATCTCTGTCTCTGTTTCTGCCTCTCCCCTGGGCACAGCTCTTCCTTCTGCTGACCTGCTGGGCCCCGTTTCTTCCTGAGAAGGCAGGAGGTGGGGTGGCCTACAGGGTGTGCGGCTCTCTCCTCTCCGCTCCTCAGCCTGCTGTGCCCCGTCACCTGCCTGAGGATGGCGGCCATCTGCAGGTTAATGGGCTGTGGGCCACCAGCTGTCACTGGGGCGGCCAGCAGTGGCCCCCCCAAGGAGGAAGCAGCTGCAGACTTCTCTGCCGACTCTCTGGGCCCTGCAGTCAGACCTGACTGCTGCAAGGAGTCGGGGCTCAGGGTGGGGACAGGGCACAGAACCTGGGGCTCAGCACCTGGAGGTCAGCAACATCCCGTGAAGGTGGCTGCTGGACTCGCTCTGCTGGGGTTTGGGGAATCATTTCACCAGCATCAGTGGAGTCTCGATTCCCACAGGGTCTCAGCTCGCAGGGACAAGTACCCTGAGTCCCGTCTCCTCAGGGACACCAAGGGCACCCCAGTGGTCATTGCCTCAGGGTCCCCTCTATAAAATGGCTGTGCTGAGCACCAGCCCCATCACACATCACATGGTCAGCCCTGGGGACGCAGTGCTGATTGACTGCGAGGGGCTGTGGGGCTGAGGGCGCCTGACACCAGACCATCCCCAGGGTCCTTTGCCAAGCAGGCAGGCCTTGTGCCAATGGTCCACCCAGTTGCTCTGACCAGGGTATCAGGAGAGGGGCCAGCAGGCATTGCCATGGCTGATGGTGGTGGCTGGGGACAGCTGGGGACCTCCAGCTCTCCCTTGGTTGCTGGCTGCTCCCCGAGTGGCTCCAGTGGGCAGCCTTCCTGTGCACGGTGACCCGGGGCAGGAGAGGCAGCCAGCCCGTTGCCAGGACAGCCCCAGGGGCCGCATGTTACCCAGCAGAGCCCACCCTGGCCCCCAGGCTGGGGTGTCGCCTGAGTCGCCCGAAGCCCAGGCAGACTGTGGCCTCTCATGGTAGCAGAGACGAGAACCAGCACGGCGACCCCAGCTCTGTCCGAGGTCCAGGGGAAGAGGCAGGATGGCTCAGATGGCCCTCTGAGCAGAGCCTGTGAGACAGCCGAGGCTCAGCCTGGACCCCACTCCTTGGCAGGCCGGGTGTTCCCTGTGGCGGCCACGCCTGGGATAAGTGCTGCTCCTGGGTGTTGGGGACTGGCCCTGTGGCTCCCTGGGGGGACTGGGCCTCCCCAGGTGGTATCCCTATCAGGCTCTTGACACTCTGAACACAAGGCCTCGGGGCTCTAAAGGGACTGGCCATCCCAAGAAGTCCAGGACTGCCAGGGCTCACCATGGAGGGCAGTGCAGGAGGAAGGCCCTGTGGGCACCATGACCAAGCAGGGCTGGTGGCTCCCTGCTGAGCCACCTCATCCCTGTCACTGTACTGGGTCCAGGGGCTCTGCTCTGGTTTGACTCGCGGCAAAGGCCCCACCTGCAGAGCATCAAGCCAGCCTCCTCCCAGGCACTTGTGTCCAGTGAATGTTAGCCAAATGGGGGTGCCTGCGTAGGACGCACCATCTCCTGCTAGGTCTTAGAAGGCAGGACGATGTGTCCACACGAGCAGAGTAATGCTTTCCCCCGCAAAACACTTCAGCTTCGCTTTCAATAAACATATAATGAAAAGTACTTGATTTTTGTCTCAAGCAGCAGTGGCTAATAAATTCAATTCTGGAGCCAAATTGTCTGGGCTTAAATCCCAGATCCAGGCTTTGCCATAGACATGACCTTGAGGAAGGATTTATTCCCTTGCTGCCTCAGTTTCCTCTTATGGGAAATCAGGTAAAGCAAGTCTGTGCCTCTGTGTGGTGGCTGTGAGTCAGGGTGCAGAGCCAGCGCAGGCCAATGCTGGTGCTCTGTGTGGTGATGCCAAAAGCTGGTCCTTGCAAAATACGTCCTACAACCGGGCACTGCATTAACAGAAGAGAATGGCATTTCTGAAGGAGGGACTGGGAATAGTGGAGCAGGCCAGTTTCCCTCAGACTCACTGCATCTGGAGAATCTCCTGGAGGGAGGATTAAAACAGTGTCCCCAGGCTCCATCTGGGAACACGCCACCACGGTGAGCACCCTGCAGCACACTGGCCACGGTCCCAGTGGCTGGGTCCTTCCTGCTAGTGTCCTCTGAATTTTTTTTGAGACAAATGTCTCAAGAAGAAAGAGAGATTCAGCCGGGAAAGGAGCTCTCAGCTCCCGTCAGCAAATGGCAAGAGGCAGGAAGTCTCCTAGTGGATGGGAGGTGCCTTCTGCACGGACATGCACGTTTGGAGTAGAGAGCACAGGACAAGGTGCCAGGACCCCCAGAGTCCCACCCAACACACACACATGCACAGACAGGCACACACGAACATGCACACACAAACACATGTGTGCAGACATGTACCCATGAACACACAGAGACATGCACATGCTGGAGCACATGAACAGATATATGCACACTGAACACACACCATACACACATATGCACATCTGTGCTCACACATGTGGACAGGCACACGCACAAACACATGCAGACACATGCACATGTGTGCACTCACACAAATACCTGGGCTCGTGGCCACCCAGAGACACACACACATTGACACAGATGAACACACGTGCACAGGCACATAGGCACAAGCACACACAATACATGAGACACATGCAAGCACATACACTCACACTCATGCACACAAACATACGCACACTTACACATATACATGCATATCATCCAGATGCATGCACAGAAACACATGTGTACCGACGTGTGTGCACACACACTCACACAGACATGCACACACACACCAAGACAAGAGCCGTGAAACCCCAGGGCCTGGTCCTCCTTGTCTCTCTACTTCAAGGGCCCAGCACGAAGTAAGCTCCTAATAAATGCTCCCTCATTTGTTCATTCAGCAAATATTTACTGAGCATCAATATGTGTCAAAAGTCATTTCAGGCACTGGGGACACAGCGAGAGCCCAGCAGACAGAGCTCATGTCCTGTGAACCAAGTTCACCACCCTGGCTGCTGGTTCAGGCCCCTGGGGCTTCCCAGCTCTGGACTCTGTGTGCATGTCCATGGGAGCATACCTGTGCTGATGCCCTTCCCTCTCCAGACCCCAGCTGCTCATCTACAAGATTCTGGTGAGGGGCTAGAGTAGAGATGGGGCAGCTGGGATTTGGGGATGGTGCATCTATTCTGGGCTCCGAGGAGCATGACCTGGGGACTGGGTCCGTGTTCACTTTTCCTCTCCTGGTGGGTTTCCGCTGGCCTGGTGGGTCAGCCTCCACCTGTCCTTTCCCACCCCACAGCCCCAGAGAGTGGGGCGGAGAGTGGATCCCGTAGGACCAGGAGGCTCGGACCGCTCCCCCCTGCACCATCTGCCCCGGCTCCGGAGCTCAGGGGTCCACGCGGGTGGCCAGTCTGGTCCAGCACCCGCGCGGGCCCGGCTGCCGGGATCGAGTTTGGGGCTCATCCCCGGCGCTGGCCCGGAAGCCTCGGGAAGGGCGCGGGGAGGGCGGGGCTACGCGGCCGCGCGGGCACCCGTGGCCTCGCTCCCCGGCGGCCGGGCCGGGGCCGCGCACCGGCGGCGGCGGGCGGGCGGTCCCGCGGGCGGCGGGCGGGGCGGCGGGCGCCGCGTGCATGCTGATGAGCGCGAGGCCGCGTCACTGCGCACCGGCGCCGTGGCTGCGGGGCGGGAGGAGCGGGCGCAGGAGCGCGGGCAGGAGCGCGGGAGGAGCGGCCCCGCCGCCGAGCCCCTCGCCCCTCCGGGCCAGGCCGCTCGGCGCCGGGCGGGCGCCCTGCGGAGGATGCCGGCGGCGCCGCGCGCGCGCAGCCCCGGGCAGCCCCTGCGCGCCGGACGGCGGTGCTGAAGGGACAGCGCCCGCCCGCCGGCCCAGGGTCCCCTCAGCGGCCGGCCGCGCCCAGGCTGCCGCCGCCCAGGCCCCTGGGGATGCCCCGCGGTGAGGCGGCCCCGCCCGAGCCGCACTCATGGCGGTGGCCAGGAAGATCAAAACTTTGCTGACGGTCAACATCCTGGTGTTCGTGGGCATCGTCCTCTTCTCCGTGTACTGCCGCCTGCAGGACCGTTCTGCCGCGCTGGTGCAGGTCGTGCGCGGCGCCGACCGCCGGGTGCGCAGCCGGCACGCCAAGGTGGGCGCGCTGGCCGACCGCGAAGCCATCCTGCAGCGCCTGGACCACCTGGAGGAGGTGGTCTACAACCAGCTCAATGGTGAGCGCCCAGAGCAGGGTCCGGTGGGGGCGCGCCGCTGGGCCAAGGGGCCAGGACCCACGCCCACCCCGGCCGTAGGCCGCAGGGCTGGAACCAGCCCCTCTGTGGGTCCGTGGGAGTGAATGGCCCGGAGGCAGACAGAGGTGAGGGCTCTTAGAGTCCTCCCTTTGGCAGAGGCTGGCCTGGATGATCACTCAGTCATTCATTCCTCCAGTGAACATTTGGGAAGGACCCCAGCCGCCCACCCAGTGACTTCAAACTTAACTCCCCAGGAGAACTTGAGGGAACTTCAGGAGAGGTTCTTAGGATCTACCTGGCAGCAGGCAGCACCAGGGTCCAGGGGTGAGGGCAGGCTGCCGGCCCCCAGGGCTTAGGTCAGGCTTATTTCCATCCTTCTGCAGAGGTGGAGGGAGGGGCAGGTGCTGCCCTCTAAATGGCTGATGTCCTGTCCTTGCCACTGGGGCTCACAGGGGACCCACTGAGGCTGTGACCCCTGACCCAGACAGAATCCCATCTGGGCTGCTCAGGGCTTGTGCCACGAAGTTCTGTGGTAGGGAAATGCTGAGGCCTGGCTGCTGTGTGGACAGATGAAGTCCAGGGTCCAGCAGGGCTGGGCAGGAGCTAACTGTTCACATGGATGGAGGTTGTGCGCCTGGGAGTCCCCAAAGCCTTGAAAGTGTCCTTTGCTCTGTGGGACCCTGGGAAGGTCAGCATTGGTGTCAGGGTAGGTCAAGGCCACTGGCCACAGTAGTGAAATGAGTACTTTTCCACTTTGGGATGGGCAGGATGGACACAGGGAATGCTGCCCGCCCCCCGCCAGGATGAAGGAAGGAGAATGTTTGGGTGTGCCCACTTTACCAGGGGCTTCTCCCTTCTGGTTCATTAGGCTGTTCTGTTTTCCGCATTGATAGCCCCAGCAAACCTCTTCCAGGAAGTGCCAGGGACAGGGTCACAAAGGAGGTGGCTGGGGGCTGGGATCTGTGTGCTGCCCTGTGCCACATGTGTTGGGGGTGGAGATTGGGGTCTTCTGACAGGTTCCTTTGGGGGCCCATCATGTGGGAGCCTAGGTTGCAGGTGGGCCTCTGAGCCACAGCCTGAAGGGGCTGCCTAGTGTGTCCCCAGGCTGAGGACCATCTGGCCTGCTGGTGGCTCACTCTTGGAGAGATAAGCACGCCCAGACCCCTCAGTGCGTTCTGGTCACCACGGAACACTTGGCTCCCTGGGGATGGCTGGCCAGCTCCCTGGCTTTTCTGGTCTTTGCTTTTCTCCTGTAGCCACGAGAGGAGAAGTTCAGCTGGAGCAGCCACCTGGCCATTCCAGCAGTGATTCATCTCCTGGAAGGTGGCGTGCCCCGGTAATAGCACAGAGCTTTATTGAAGTGTATTTGCCAGGGTGTTATGGTCTGTTTTATGGGGAGAACCGGAGGATTATATAAAAACATTGGCAGCTTGTTGGGGTTGTGTAACATCGCAACGGCCGGCAGCCCCGGGAACTGCTCTCCTTGCCTCGCCCGCTGAGAGCAGGAACCAGGAGCTTTGGCAGAGAAAGCCTGGACCCTCAACCAACTTTTCTGACATCAGTGGGGAGAGAATGACGTGACTGGGGACGTGGCGTGCCACCTTCCCTCCCCAGCCTCTCCGCCTGCCCCCCCCATCTCCCCCTCTTCCTTTCTTTTTAAATGTTCTCCTCTCTCCTCTCCTCCCCCCTCTCCCCCCCCACCACAATCCTTTCCTCCTCCCACCATCCCTCTTTCCTCTCCCAGCCTCTTCCTGGTCCTCTCTCTCTCCCTCTCTGATGGGGCCACATTATGTCCCTCTCTCTGACCTGTGTGCCCAGGAGTGTCTAAACCCAGGAGCTATTCAATACTTGCTCCAGGAAATGACAAGAGACAGTGGAATCTGTCACTGCTCCCGGGCAGGTCCCCAGGAGGGCACAGTCCAGTGGCAGGGAGGCCCTCTGAGGCCTCCCGATGCATTCTTGCCCCCTCCTGGATCGCAGGAGTTGAGGAAATCCATGAGTGCATCCAGGAGGGTGCAGCCCGGTCTCTCCATCACCGGTTCTATTTCAGGTCCCGGAAATCTGAGATTGATTCCTGGGAGTTTCTGCCAGATGCTAATCCGGCCGAGTTCAGGAGGGAGAAGGAGAAATCCAAAGCAAGATTGATCTGTCACTTACATTTCCTCGGCCTCAGCGGCTCCCTGGAGATTTCTCTTGACTTCAGAGAATCTGTGAGAAAGGAGGTACTGGGGGACGAGGACCAGTTTCCTTAGAGCCAGGGGGAGCCAGAGGCTTTGGTGAGGGAGCAGGCCGGAGTGGGCCGTTCTATGGCTGGCCCAGCCATCTGTACATGGACACCTCACTGAGCTTTGCAGCCCTTGTGTGGGGTGTAGGTTGAAATCTCAGGCCTAGAGGGAGATTCTGTCAGGAAAGGCGTCCCCCAGACGGCAGGAGTGTTTGCTTCTGAATTAGGTGCTCAAGGCAAGAAGAAATGTTTACAGATGAAAACCACCCTTATGCAAACCCTAATTGGGCCTAAAGCACAGAACCCTGTTCTTGTGCCTGCAGTGGCTCAGTGAGCCTGTAAACGCCAAGCTCGGGAGCCTCTGCAGCCAGGGAACAGAGGCAAAGGCGCCACCCTCTGATGTCCTGTCAGCCCCTGCCCTTGGCATCTGACCTGTGGCTGGCCAATGCGGCAGGGAGAGAGACTGGGCAAGCTGCTAGCAAGGTCTCTCCTGGGGCACCGAACATACCCAGGGGCCTCACTGCACCTAGGAGTCCCACCTGCCACCTCCTGCCGGGGGCCCTGAAGAGGAGAGACAGTATTAGGGACATGCTGAGGATGGGATGTGGTGGCTTGATCCTGGTTGTTGGCTTTCCAGGGTGGTTTCTAAAGTCGCCCACTCGGCCCGGTGCACAGTGCGCGAGTTACAGTCAGAGGAGGTCAAGGCCAGGTCTCACGATAGAAGAGGCACAAGGCAGGCTGCTTGCCCAAGGTCATTCTCAGACTAGGTGGTGACAGCTGCTGAAAGAGGCACCTGCTTCAGAAGGACCTCCCTTTATGCAGTTATTAACCTATATCACAGACCGCCAGGCCAGAGAGGCCCTGGGGTGTGTGACCTCTGCCTGCCCGGAAAGTGGATACCACTGCCCTGCATCCTTCAGGAAGCAGGTCCGGCCCTCCTGGCCTCTGGGAGCTTGCCTGCCTGTCCTCATCCTCTCAGGGCAGGGGCTTCTAACACCAAGGTGGGGGTGCCCTTGCACAGGGGCTCCCGGATACCTGCAAGTGCCTGCTCACTTCTGAAATGATTCATTGCTTTGGCTTCAATAAATGTATTTCAAGAGGCAACCGTGAATCACAGCTACCCCGTGAGTTGCAGGGTCTACGCTCCTGGAAGCTGCTGCCTCCAGAGGCTGCTTGTTAGGGGGGCGTGGGTGGGGCCACCTGGGCACGGCCACCAGATCAGGAGGGTGAGTTGACTCCAAAGGCAGAGACTCTGGCAGGGCCACTGGGGCTACTTAACACCATGCCGTCTCCTGCTGAGAATGGGGTCCTGCAGGCTGGTTGGGTCAGCATGTGGCCCCTGGTTTGGGAAGCCCTGGCCAGGGACTGAGGCTGTGGGTGGGTAGGCAGAGGAGAGTCCAGTGGCTGTTGGTGCTGAAGGGGCCTCCCTAGGCCACCCTTGGGTCCCAAAGCATGGGGTAGCACATGCCCAGCACCAGGAGTTGTTCACAGGGAACCAGAGAAGCCAGGCAAGGGGAGGGGATGCCCATCACCAGCAGGTGTGCCAGGCCCTCTGGCTGCAGGGGCAAAGCCTGGACAGTGTCAGCCACAGGAACATGGCGTGGCTGAGGGGCCTGCTCTGGAGCCTGGGAAGATGCCCAGCCTGCCTCTCATCCTGCTCAGGTGGCACCTGGCACGAGGGGATGCCCGTCCCTGTTGTGCTGGATTGAGACACAGTGGGCAGGACTGGGGCTCTGCCCATCTCCCTCTGGCCTGTCCAGCACACACCTCCCTCAGGAGCCTCCGGGTGCAGGTGGCGAGGCAGCTTCCCCTTGGCCCCCAGGGGATCCAGGCCAGCAGAGAGCGCTTCCTAAGCAGGCAGGTTTGACTGCAGAGCTGCTCCCTGCAGGTCAGCCATGGGCCCTGCCCTCAGCCTTCGGCCTCCTGGACTCCTCCCCAGGAGCTACAATGTTTCCATGTGGCCAGGCCAGGCAGTGGAGTCGTGGTGGTCGGGGAGAGGGCCATGGTGTGCTGGACGCTTTCTCTAATTGCGGGTCTGGGAGGGTCTGGCCCCCACATGCTGCTGTGCCTGACTCCAGGGTCGTGGCCCCCCACGCCTTGCCCACTGCTGCCTAAATACCAGGAAACAAAGCCCTGCATGGCTGGTCCCCGAGGCAGGCCCCAAGCATGCACTGTCCCCGCTGCCGTGCCCGTGCCTGGAGCAGCCGGTCCCCTGTCGAGGTCAGGGCATTAAGGTTTTGCCTCTTCTTCCTGTCTGGGCTGCTGGCCACCTCCTCACCAGCGATCCTGGCAGGACTGACCACAGGCGTGTGGGCACCGCCAAGCCTGGACTGAACTGGGAGTTATGGTTGATGGACACCGCCCCTGACCTGAGCCAGGAGAGGGCTGGGGCCAAGGGGAGGCCTCTGTGCTCAGCTCAGCCCCTGCGTAGGTCCAGCCCCAGGACTGTGTGGGAAGGATCGTCCAGCCTGCCCTGGCCGGAGACCAAACGATGCCTGGAGCTGCTGGGAGCCGGGAGCAGGCAGATCCTCCCCCGAGCCTTCATGGGGCCATGCTTGTCCACCCAGGATTGCAGCTCAGACTGTGGGAGAAGCCTGTGGTGTGAGGCCCCCATGTGGCGCTGTGTGGCAGTAACAATGACCCTCACACAGGGGCGTTGGTGCCGGCCTTGGGGTCTGGGTAGGTGAGTAGGGCTGGGTGTAGGCAGGAGCCAAAGGCCCTGTGGTGACCTGAGGGTCCTGGTGAGCAGCCCTCCACC